CTGGCAGATGTCAGAAGGTGCTGGGAATCTGACTTTGACGAAAGAGACTTCTGAAGGATAACCCTGCAGACAGGACTCCAAAGGTCTCCAAAACGCCAGCAACTTCAAGCCTCAATTGGTTCACAGGCCCCTGACCTACTCTTCGGAGAAAGAGCTTACCAAGTTGGAGAAGTCCTAAGGGGTGGAGGATCGTGAGTAGTGACCCAGGAGCTTAAGGGAAGGCCCAGGAAACATGATACCAGGCAAACGGAAAAGTAAGTCGCTACTAGATCACCTTTCCACAAATTTCTTCAGACTGGTTCAAGGGAGTCGTTAAAAGCCTTTGCCAGACTCAAGCGCCTTGCAAAGGAAATTAAAGGTCTCAAGCCAAGGTCCTGTGAAGCCACACGCTTAGAGGAGAGGAGAGAAGCAGAGCTGACCATAATCAAGATGGTTCAAGAAGCAACACTCTCTCAAGAAATAAAGTGCCTTCAGCAGCATAAGGATTACCATCTCCAACAAAGACCAAAGTGGATTAAGGACCGCAGAAACTTCAAGGTAAATGACGTTGTCATTCTGCAAGACAACACTACACCTCGTGGCCAATGGAAGCTGGCCAGGGTTGTGGAAGTGTACCCAGGAGGGGATGGAAGAGTGAGAAGGCTCAAGCTGCTTATCAGCGACTCTACCCTGGATGGAAAGGCAAAGCGCCTCGCTAAACCTGTCTACCTCGAAAGGCCTATTCACAAGACGGTGTTGTTGTTGGAAGCAGACAAAGACTCAGTTACTCTCACTCACACTCTGCACTTAATAGGTCTAAAACAAAATAGTTAGTTTTACATTAATGTATATCAGTTTTCTAAAAATGTTATGGAAATCACAGGTAATTTGGTGAGAGTGTAACTGTCTTCACTCTCTGTTGTTTATTTTGTTCCACGTTGTATTTTTGATTCCTACCTTTTATGTGCAACATTAATTAAGGGACGGAACTAATCTGCAGTGTTTTGTGTTAAACCTGTTTGTTTAATCGACGCACTTGATAGTAGCAACTGCAGAGCAACGCAGAATGTAAAGAAAATCTAAGGAAACTAAGGGAAAAATGCATTTAAAGATATCAGCCCCTCTAGATGACTAGCAGCCTATGAGGTACGTTTTTGTGCTGGTTGTTTGTCTAAATGTGTGTGGTTGAGCTGCAGGTTATATGTATGTATGCTATGCGCTAGCTTGTGCTACATGCTATTGTTAGCTTGTGCTACATGCTGTGTGGGATATGTGTGCCGTTTATTGTTTTATTTAGCGGCATTAACAGTGATGACATGCATATATTCCATATTCATTTATTGTTTACCTTTTATATATTTGTTGTCTTACAACCCAGTTCTCAGGAGTTGGAATAGGTCCCACAAGAATAAACCCCGTATTAAATCAAGACCTCAGCCTCGTGTCATTTACTGGAGGG